TCTCTCTCTCTCTCTCTTCTCTCTCTCTCTCTCTCTCTTGTCTCTCTTTGTTAAGAAGAATAAACCTCTCGACCTCCCGTGTTGTGATTTAGGTTCTGAGGAACCTGCGGAGCGTCATCAGTCTCACCTTCCTGCTGGGGATGACTTGGGGCTTCGCTCTGTTCGCCTGGGGGCCCGTTAACCTGGCCTTCATGTACCTGTTCTCCATCTTCAACTCGCTGCAAGGTAACCATGGTCACATTCACCCAGTGAGCCTTAAACACCTCAGTCTTTATTTCTGATCATGAGTAAAACACACCAGAGGACATGTTGTCCCCCTTTATATCTTTGTATCTTCTCTCTCTCTCTCTCTCTCTCTCTCTCTCTCTCTGTCTCTCTCTCTCTGTCTCTCTCTGTCTCTCTCTCTCTGTCTCTCTGTCTCTCTCTCTCTCTCTCTCCTCTCTCTGTCTCTCTCTCTGTCTCTCTCTCTGTCTCTCTCTCTCTCTCTCTGTCTCTCTTGCTGTCTCTCTCTCTCTTCTCTCTCTCTCTCTCTGTCTCTCTCGCTGTCTCTCTCTCTCTTCTCTCTCTCTCTCTCTGTCTCTCTCTCTGTCTCTGTCTCTCTCTCTCCTCAGGTTTGTTCATCTTTATCTTTCACTGCGCTCTGAAAGAAAACGTGCAGAAACAATGGAGGAGATATCTCTGCTGTGGACGCTTCAGACTGTCAGACAACTCAGGTACCTGTGTGTGTGTGTGTGTGTGTGTGTGCGTGTCTCTGGGTCCAGGTTCCCACAGCAGCAGAGAGAGAGAGAGCGTCTCTTTATTAAATCATAAACTGGGACTCTGTGTGGATTTGCAGCTCATAAAAACAGATCAAACAGAGAGTCGTGTTTGGGGGGACCAGGAAGTCCTCCAGGTCTCCGTCTGTTCATTATGAGCCTCATTCCTTAAATACCACCTTAACAACGTTTTGATGTGAACGTAGAAAACAAACTTCATCATATTTAATGTGCCGTATTCATGAGATTCAGGCCATGTCATCAAAAGGTCAAAATCAGAGCTGCCAGCTTGAACCAGGTAATCAGGATTAATCTCATGTTTGTCCCTTCAGGCTCACCGTAGATAGTCGTCCTCAATGTCTCCCTGTAGTCTCAGTGATGACTTATGACATCACACACTGACCTTTATGACATCACACATTGACCTTATGACATCACACTTTGTTACCGTTCCTCACTTTGGGATCCCTCAGCTTAGGTCCTTTCCACCTGTAGTTTTTTTCAGGGCAGTAAAGCACTGGTTGTGCTCTCTGGAGTGTTTGCATGAAGTGTTTGTGAGCTGAGAAGAAAAGTGCTGCAAGTCCGATGCACAGCGACAGGGCCTAAGACAGTTCAAACTTTCAAAATAAAAGCCTTACTATTTTTTATTTTGAAATGCAAAATAATGTAATTTCCAACATGTGATTAAAAATGTGATTAATGGGGGCGCCCTTAGCCTAGTGGGTAGTGCATGCGTGCCATGTAAAGAGGCTTATGTTCTCAAGAGCGGGCAGCCCGGGTTCGAATCCGACCTGTGGTTCCTTTTAGCGTAGATACAGTCGGCGTTGCGTCAGAGTTGGGGGCGGGGCATCCCTTGAGGGAAAAGAATCCTTTCCCCCAGCCACCAGTAATACAGATGCAAGAATTTTAAACTTCAGTGCGTCGTATGGTTACGATTAGTTACATTAATTCAACCAAACGATATGAGACGCTCTCCTGTGGATAACAGGTCTGATACAGGCTGTTCATCATGCAGCATGCAAACAGGCTCTTCATGTTTATTTAACATTATCTTTTATCTTCAAGGCCAAAGAATCTGCACAGAAAATTAGAGTTTAATTTCAAGAGGCCACCAGGTCATCATGAAATCATCTCTTACACATCTGTTCTGTGTTAGTGACGATCACATCTGATAATGTGTAAAGTAACTTAGACAGAGGGATGTTAAAGAAAGAAAAAGAGTTAAAGGTCCAATCAGTGAGATGTGTAGAGAGGTAAATGATAAAGGTATCTTACTATCTGATCATTAAGGAAACATGCTATGTTGAAGTGCTGGCTTCTCTGACAACAATGCAGCAGCCAGTATGTCCTCCTTCTAACTTTAGATTCTGCTCCTGAATGCTCTGGATTTGTTTGGACCAGAGAAGGTAGGCGCTTTAAAGACACGCCCCCACACGGCCCGTTTTGGACGCCCCTCTGTTTGTCAGATATGAGAGCAGTTATCAGGTCAACAGGTGTTGCAGCGATGGAAGCGGTCAAGAGAAGTGGTTCAGATAGAAGTGATTGTACCCGACCTAAAAAGCCTCTGCATGTTTCTAATAAGCTCCACGAGCAGAAACGTGCTCAAACTAGGATCAATATTGGAGATGCTTTTGAAAAATGGAGAGAGGTTAGAACACAGAAAGGTTTACAGACCCATGCAGAGCTGGATAAACACTGAAGCTTCAGAGTCCACCACATGGTGACCTGAGTGAGCATCCACTCTAGAGAGGAGGGGGGGAGACAGCTCTCTATGATGTTTAGAATTCAGACTGCAGTACCCATTTTAAACACTAGGGGTCAGAGTTACATACTGCTCCTTTAAAGATAAAAGAGAAGGTATGATGGGAAAAGAAAGATATTGATTGATTGTTTTGTGTGTCCGCTGCAGACTGGAGTAAGACGGCCACCAACAACACGAAGAAGGTGAGCTCAGAAAACCTGGGGAAGTCTCTGTCCTCCAGCTCGTTCGGCTCCAGCACCGCTAACTGGACGTCCAAAGCTAAAGCTACGCTAAACCCGTTCACCAAGAGACACAGTAACACAGGTGAGACATGCACACACACACACACACAAATAAAAAGAGGGTGGAAATGTGAAGAAGATGCAGAGGGATCTGAAGGGGAATGAAGAGATGAAAACTTCAGATGTGGGACTTAAAATCAACTCAGAAAACACATTTTAAGTGTCTGATTTGATTTTGTTTAAACAGCTTTTCTAAAGATGATTTGTCTTCGATCCAAACACTGCAGAATGTGGATTTTATCTCTTTATTCTGATGTGTAAAAAGTAGGTTCACATGCAGACTCAAACATATTCAGACCTGAAACTAAACATCATTCTGGTTTAATTTTCAAATAGTTAAAAGACTAAATAAATGTTCCTTCCATTTGGGTTGGTCGGCACATCTGAAAAAAAAAAACTGCAGTCCTATTTTAACTTCCTTTAACATCATTTCCATCAGTCCTAATAAAACTTAGAGATTTGAAAAAAAATGACCAGACTCCAAGACTGTATATAAAAAAATGGACGTAGCCTCCATCCAGTCGTCCATTGGTTTGTTGACGACTGTTTTGAAGCCTCATGATTTTTGCCCTACGCCATCTTTGTTTCTGGAGCCAGAACCGACCATGGTGGCGCACCAGAAATCCATAATGTGTTCTGTTTTGTGTGCAAGAGAAACAAAGCTCCATCTAGCCCTCGCCATGTTGAAACCGTCGCCATGTTTTCTTTAAAGTCTGAATATGTGAGTCCGCAGGTAAACCATTGTTTATCTTTATCTTCATAATTCAGGTTTGTATCTGTGACTGTTGAAGGTTCAGTGATATCTTCTCACATGTGATGTTTATCTACCTCTGTGTTTGGTGTGTAGAATTCTCTTCCAGCCAATAGCAAGAGTGGGAGGACCGATGGAGGTAAAACTAAAGCTGATTGGCTGAGTGACTTCCTGCTTTCAGCATAATGTGATCCGCTCTCTGTTTCCCAAAATGTTTGTGGTCAAAGTCCAATCAAATTCAACAATTTAATCGGACCAAAAAAAAAAAACCCAAAAAACAGGAAACTTTGCTGGCAGACATTTTGGAAAAAAGCCGCCACTGTGTGTTGTGATTGGCCGGTCACTGTGATGTCAAGACGTCATCTTCTTGCGCCCTGAGACACTGATGGGGATGAGGTCAAAAAATGTTTCAGCCATTGACACATAACCAAAAAAACATTCAAACCCCACCCACCCCGAGTGTCCCAGGGAGCCAAAAGCAGCACGCCCCGACAGACTGCATCCACGCTAACATGTGGCACGTTTAACTGTGATGTGTTTGTTTTGTTAATAAGAGCAGAGTAACAACAGGCTGACGCTGTGGTTCACATTAGAGGCGGACATTGAAGTGATTAATCGAGCTTTGTTCCTCTGAATTAACAACAAATGTTCAGACGGTTTTGGCAGACGCGAAGTTCTGAGTCCAAATGTTACACCATGAAGTGAAGTCCCACAGAGACCGAATCAATCCCCTGCTGGTTTCAGATACATTTTACATCTGTGCACCAAAATACAGAGCAACACTCAAATGTTAGACTTCATCTAAAACCTCAGGAAAATGAGTTTCATGTGTGATGTGTGGTTAGTCAAAGTAACCATTTTTCTCCATGCGTGAAAACGATGATCGCTCTGCACAAACAGTCCGTTAAAGAACGATAAAATGACGTCCTGTAACAGCGAGAGTGGTGACAGAATCCACTCAGCTCAGTCAGGTGTGTGTGTGACTGATTGGCTGTGATTAAGGTCAGGTGTGGGGAGCTTCTATTACTGTGTTGACTCATTATCTCACCTTCAGAGGTAGTGAAAGGCTCTCCCTGTGTTTGTGACAGTCTGTATGTTTAAATCTGTATAATCACAAAACAAGGAGCTTCCTGTGTATTTGCTCTCCGTTACCTGTTTTTAAACTTCCCGGCTGAAGATATTTCAAAGTATGGGGTCGTAAAAACCGAAAGTGTCCACTGAGTGAAACAAAAAGGGATTTCTGAAAAGACAGCAAAGACATAAATCGAACATCAGTCGCTTACAGATCCTTTTTGATCCCAGTCCCCGGGACATTTCATCAAGACAACTTTTAAACGTCTTTGAAAAGCGCTATAAAAAATCGATTTGCATTATTATTATGTCTTCATGCCCACAGCTGCAAATTACTTTCTTCATGTCCTATTTTATTTTAGCTTAATTTAAGAAACTCCAGATCTCTTACCAGATGAGAAGGAGCTAATCCCTCAAAAAACATCCAACTTTCTACTTTTCTTAGTTCAATAATCCCACAAAGTAACTCTCTGTTACAGTAGTTGTTCTCTGTGAGTGAATGTCGACACTTGGATAAACTTAAGACTCCTAGTAGCTTCTCGAGGAAAAATTCCTCAGATTGAAAACAAATTCCTGTCAGCACAGAGGCTTCTGGGAATCTGCTTGTCACGGATGTCAGGGACTGTTGCTGTAAATCTTGCTGTGTGGTTTTTTGCGGCAGCATGTTTGTGGACCACACACACACCTAAAGGTCTTGCATTGAACTCTATCAGTGTAGTAGTGTATGTATAAGTGTTTTTTTGTGTGTGTGTGTGTGTGTGTGTGTGTGTGTGCGTGTGTGCTCCAGGCCCACAGGAATGCATGAACTTGTCACATCCCATATTTCATCGCACATATGTTTTCAGATTGTTGTATATACTCATGCAACAAACTTGTGGTCGAATTTGGGGTGTTATCATGAAAACACTGACTTCATGCTTACTGGTTTTTGTGCTGAGCAGAGCCCATTGTTACCCTGATATGGTCCTGATATGGTCCTGATATGGTCCTGATATGGTCCTGATAATGCTGTTTTATGTTGTCTACAGAGCTTTAAAACCTCTGGTGCATGTTAGCAAACAGGAAAAATTGAATGGACTTTGTTATCTCGTAATGTTTTATTTATTTGGCAAATACGGCAAAGAGTCCAAAACCAACAACGCATTCATCTTTTCTTAAGTGGATGAGAAGTCTGTTGTATCAGCCTGTGGCTTCTGGACCGCTAAGTTCACGTTTGTTTTATTAGCACCAACAGTTTAGTTTAGAAAAGAGTGTGCCAAATGAATCACAATTTTGAGTGCATGATCAAGTACTCGGCACAGTGTGTTTCACCCACATTTACTAAATTTGGTGAGTTCATAGGGGTCATTCTCTGATGAACCCCTTCTAGGGGATACATCTGATCAAGCTCAAATTTGGTGTACAGCTAAATAAGACCTGATGCATAAAAGGTTATTAAAATCTGTCTAATTGCTCAAAGGGAATGGCCAGGGCCAGCCCTCACATTAACATGATTAGTCGTGAAACAGCCCCCATAAAGGGAGTTATATGTGGATGAACTCCTCCCAGGGAATACATCTGATTAAGCTCAAATATGGTGTACAGCTAGATAAGACCTGATGTATGATAAGTTATAAGAATCTTTCTAACTCCTTAAACGGTGTGGTCGGGGAAAGCCCTCGTATTTGCATGATTCGACATTAACAGCCCCCTAAAACTCGCCTGGAACCAACCAACCAGGGCCATATTCAGGGGTCATACTTTGATTAACTCCTCATATGGGGTTAACAAGACCCACTTCAATTTTTGGTGTAGAGGAGACCTTAATAATGAAAATATTTTTAAAAACATGTTAATAACTCCAAAGACAAAGCTCAATCAAAACATTATTTCCCAGGGAAGTTTAAAATATTCCATTTTAAGGTTACTAGGTTCAAGGTTGTGATACTTTTTGTCCTTGTATTTCTTTTTGAGAAGCATCCATCCTGTTATCTTATCAACACTAATCCCCAGCATGGAAATAGACTCCTGCTGATCCTCACTGTCATTACTTACACCGTGAGGTAACTCAGCCAAAGGCTTCACTGAATGATGCAAACACCCCGATGATGCATTAACTGAGGCAGCTGAGAGGTGCTTGTGAAGTGCAAGTCTCCTGATTTCCAGACAGATTTGATCGATTAGAAACCTTCATGTTCAGACTCTAGAGTAAAGTCTGAACTCAGCTTGTGGCTGTTATGGGAAACTGTCAGACAATGTTGGATGTTACACCTGATTTGCTTCCAAGCATGACAGACCAACTCCTTTCCTCCTATCAGGCCACTCAAGACTTAGAAAACTTAAATAGTTTAACAGTCAGCTTTTTTTAAACTGCTGAATTTATGGACTGCATTAAAGCTTCCCCCACGGTCCCAGTTAGCATCATTCTTTAAGACCTTTTACCTTTTCACCTGAGGTCATGTTTTTCAAATTCCTTGACACTATATCCCAGCAATACATTTCTTGGGTCAATGTGCCCTCCTACAATGACTGGTTTGATGGATTAAGTATTGAATGATATCTAACATCAAGTTATGATGAATTATTTGTGCATGAGTCCAATGTGTTTTCATCCAAGGTCATTAAACGCTAACGCTGTCAAGTCGTCCCTGTCATAGTGTGTAAACAAAGCGCAATAAAGCAATGCATAATGGTATCGATGTACCCGTACAGTATCAGTTTCAAGACACCCTGTTCAAGAGTACCCCTTCCATTTCTGTGTTAATTTAACCTTTCATGTCTGCTTCAAGGAACCCTCTCTTTAATGCATTTTTTTCTGTCAGTTTTAGGTTTAAATTGTATGTTCAAGATTAACATCAGTTTCCATGTAACCATCATGGTCTGAACTAAGGCCTATTTTCTTCTTTTTTTTAACATGGTCAGTTCGGTCTGCAGGATCCCTCCCTTATGGGATTACGGTTTCTTCATTTTGCTAATTTTTAATTGGTGGGGTAATCATCATTTCAGGGTACTCCTTATAGGACTGCTTTAAGGCACACTTGAGTGCTTTTTTAAGGTACCCTCTTAAGTGTGTTTCATGGTATACTGGCATACTGTCTTAGGCCTTTCCTAAGGCCAGTCCTCTACATGAAAGTCCTACATTATTTGTTCCATCCAAGGCTCCCCAATAGCCTTCATAAGCAAGCTTTATTGGCCTTTCTAACATGTAACTGATGTTGGAA